TGAAGGATGGCTAGAGCACTACTGTGTGTGATAACCTTACACATTGTCCAATGTAGTTTGACTTTCAGATTTGGTGGTCACTGAATTGCATGCAGTTTTCTTTCTTTTTCCCCTGTATCAAGAGGCTCTTCTCAAAGGCATGTGCAAGTCTCTCTGGAATCATATTTCTGGTGCTCTCACTCTAAAGTTTATTTTTTGTGCAGGAATCTATAGTTTCTATAGTGTTATAACCCAAACCAAATGTTTTCTGAGGCACAATAGAAAGCTCTATTTCTAAGCTGTTTGAACACATGCATTCAAAATGTATTAAACATGGGTAGATGATGACTGCAGAAGAAGATATTTCTAGATGTGGAATCTTTTAAAAGGAGCTAAAACTGCCTTCCTTTCCAAGAAAAATATATCAATTTCCCTATGTTTAGTGTATTTCAAATTCTGTCAACAAGTCATAAGCTATTAACAAAAAGCTGCCTTCTGTTTTGCTCACTGCCAAGTGAGCCAAGATTAGGGGTGACATTCCTACCCTCTTGAAATCAGCGACAAAACTTCCTTTGACTTCTATAGGGAGAAGATTTCATCCAAAGCAAGAAAATTATTATCCTTGCATTTTCAGAATGGAAAAGAATAAAAAGCCTCCTTCCAATTCATACCTATCTTCATTTTCAGATACTGCCATGTAAGAATTATTTATACTGTCATCCTTTTCAATATAAAGATTATCTTAGTTGGTTTTGATGCCTGAAGACAAGAATTAGCTTATAAAGTATTTTTGCAGCATACAAAACCAACAAAGAATAATTCAGACAGGCAAACACATAAAAATAAGCACTTTTCTCTCGATTTTGTTAATATGGGTTTGCTATCTTTCCACACAAAAGAATTAATGTCATTGCATTAGACAGAAAACGTTGCTTATAAAGATAGTTCATTTTTCAGAGTGATGTTTGGTGGGATGAGATGGAGAAAGGGTTAGTTCAAAGATCAGTGAAATAGGTTGGGGAAAAAGTAGACAGAAAACTTCTATTGACTGTATTGGGCTTTATGTCACACCCCTGTCTCCTGTTAAACGCCGCATAGCAAGCAAAGTTCAAACTCTTGTAACTTTTCTGCAAGAGCCTTCTTAAGAAGAACAGCAGAATATATGAACCATGAAGTCCCAGCTGAATTGTATAAGATTGGGATATATTTCCAGAAATGCTGAAGTAAGTATAATCTAGGTGTCAGGAATATGCAGTGATCTCACACATAAGTAGACAGTACAGAACCTTGCAAACACTGCACGTCTCCCTGATAACTTATTAAAAGACCCAAACACACCAAACTCAGTGAAAGCTGAGTACTGACTATCTGTGCAGGGACACAAGGGCTCAGGTTTTCCTATATGATCTCTGGTATTTGGCAAATCCTTTTTTTAATGGCCAACTGTTAATCAGTTAATAAATTAAGAATAAGAACAAAGCATCAATTAAAAAAATTTGGTCATCAGCCCATTCGAGGATTAGAATTTTGTTCATTCTTCACTGCAGAAGGAAAAGGTGAGCCTAAAACACCTTAACTTTCTGAAAAAATGCCTTCAAAGAAAAGTTATTTTTAATTGGGTGTAGTTAAACTATGGTCTGCATGTTGTTACTCATATGTCAGTTTAGATATGTTCATCATGCCACAATCATGGTTTCGATTGCCTACCTGATGAAATGCTTTGAAATACTACTTTGTAATTGCTGTTCCATACTAACTCCCCACGTGGACATCCCTGCATTTCTTAATTGACTTTGCAGCACCAGGAGTGTAAGTACACCAATATACTACCCCAGGGCAAGCTAGAGTGTGATTCTGCGTCACGCCACGACGCCTATCCTGTCCCATGGTGCACAGAGCAGTTTACCACAATGAAATATTGCTTTGCTTGATTGTACTTTCAAATATCAACCGGACCTACAGCATGTATGAGTTTCTGTAACTGAGATAAGAAAACCGTATTTTGTTACATAACCTACTTCAAAATTCATCTCGCAAAACAAGCAACCCTTCAATTATCCATAAACAATACACAATTTTCATAATTAATAAGTACAGTAGACAAACATAATTTAGTAGTCAAGCATTCACTGAAAATCAACAGGACTTAGGCTCTTGAGTCAGAGCTTCCAAAATAGAAATCCAGCAGGGCAGACGCTTTCAGAGTCACATTCCTCCGAAACTCAAGTTATTTATTACACCTCAGCACAGGCTCAAGACAGTGAAAGACTGAGGTTCTGCTGACACCTGTTGATAAATGTCTGAACAGCGGAACTGCTGTCTTACAAGTAGGTAAATGAAATTAAAAAATACATAAGAAAGCAGGAGTAAAGGAACAGACCTGCCTTCTTTCTGCAGCAAAAAATTTGCCCGTCATTGCTAAGTCATAATGGTGGAGTGAAGCTGGGGAAAAGACGAAAAGTAAAGGTAAAAACAAAATTTACTGCTAGATTTTTTTTGTCAGATCTTCCCTGACAAGGATGATGAGGTCACTTCCTACTGAGTCAATACACTACTTGCAGTGAGTCATTGTGGAGATGCTGACTAAGCTGAAAGAGATTTGCTAATGACTAGATGATCAGCAGAAGTATAATTAATATCAGCAGAGACCAGTATCTCTTTTTCAAATGATCAGATTCATCCTAACATGGGAGTGTGATAAGATGACAAATACTACCAAGAGATTTTAAATTTTTATTTATTTTTTTTCATATAGTAAGATAAGTTTTTGCTTACTCAGCAGTTTATCCTCACAACTCAGCAAATATCACATCTGAACACTGCTGGGGTTGGTTAGGCTTGAGAAAAGTAAAATTTTAACAGAATTTTACTTGTTGTTCCAACAGTAAACGATTAAGATAGGCTTCAAATTTTCAGTTCTGGTACAGTCCTAACACTAATCACTTTTAACTTTGTGTTAAGCAAACATACTGAAAAAGGGAGAAGATTGCTACACCTTTCACAATAAGTATTTCTGTTAACAGACTGCACACAACACTCCCTTTCATTTGTACAGAGGGTACATGGTCCCTGGCAAGAAAAACACGTTTGGGGCAGTGTTTTAGACACTATGTAACCTATGTTAACTGCTTTTCTGATAAGAAAAGTTCAGACAGTGAAGATTTGCTCCTTTTGCTGTCGTGCACGTGTGATCCTTCCCTCCACACCCCCCTAAAGAAACAAAAGAGAAATTTACAGTAAAGAGAAAATTCACTTTCTGTCCCTGTTGCTCACCTTTGAAAGAAAATTACTGCTTGTAAAATACAGGCCTAAAGATCTTATCTTAGACAACCATGTACTTGGGTTTCTTTGTATATTCCCGCCTTCTCTGTATCCAGGATGAATTGGAAGGCATTGTAATGGATAATTACTGTGATTACTGGATGCTTGCCAGCCCATTCAGGAATTACCGTGCCCTGGATTGAAAAGGTTGCCGAAGCCTGAAAAAAAATACAGGCGGCTGCACAGTTGTCGTGCAGTCAGGCTGCCCTCTCCCGGCAGATCACCTCTCTTCGCTGGGTGTACAGCACATCGGGCCAAAAGTTCTACCACACCTCAGCTTGGCTGCCTTTACAGCATGAACCTGATCTATGGAGAGGTTGCAGAAATGCCCAGGAAATATTCGGATGTGCAGCTGCTCAGCCAAAGCTGCTTGCAAGTCTGATTGAGCGGCTAAACATTCATAAACTGTGGATAAATCTGTAATACGTTCATCCCGGGAAATATCTCCGGGCTGAAAAAGGTGAATTTTCTAATTTTCCTCAGGTGAATTGCAGCTCTTAATCAGATTCAAGGCCTCTGCTGTGTATGAAGTGAATTTGCAGTTGAGACTACTCAAAATTCTCAGACATACAGTGCACACACAGCTTAAACAACGTGTAGCACACAGGCAAGCTGGATGCTTTACAGAGGTATTGAGCTAATTCTCCATATGATACCAATTCATGTACATATGTACTTCTGTCTGGGAAGCTCTAGACAGAAACACGGCAGCCTTTGCCTGCCAGTATTTACCTGAGCAAGTTGCTCAGACAATTAGCAAGCTTTTATCAGCATTGGGCATGTCAAGGCATTGCCGTTAACCACTTTGCTGGTTGCAAATTTTCGAGTCCTGTAACAAAAAGTGTAGTCGGCAGCTCTGCTCCAGCCTTGCAAAGGCAGACTAATACAGAAGCAAGGTAAGAAGGAAAAATGACCCAAAGAGAAAGGAAAAGAGACAAGAAGCTTCATAGGCGTTGTTTAGGATGTAAATGAAACTGATGAATGCAGTTATGTCAGTTAGTAACAGTGATCATTATGGGGTTGGCTTATTTCCTCATACGCACACAACCCTCAGCCTCTCCACAGGATGCCCAATTAGAGATGGCAACTCTTTTCATTAAGCATAAGCAATCAAGGCACATTTCTGAGCTGGTAACTATAAATGTTTGATGCCATTTCTGAAATGCTTTAGATCATTGTCATTCCAGGTGTTTACTTTATTTGCAACTGTGAACGCTCTTTGGGCTGATCAAACCTTTAAACACCGCCACGTGCAAACCTCCTTGTCTCCAGCTGGTGCCACGCACCAGACCTACACACTGGTTTACTTTGGATAAGCTGTGGTGATGTCCCCCTCAGGCTGACAGGACGGCTTGGTGAGGGCTGCTGGCGGCAACGCTGAAGTGACAACCTTTCAGGAGAAAAGCAGTTCAGCCGCGTTGCTAGCCAAAGGGCAACCCATCCTTTGCACGTTGACAGTGTTTTCGTGATACAGGGGCCCAGTGGGTCACCACCTGGAAGGAAAAATGGTTGTAAAGTTCTCTGATTCAGGCAACCCTATTGTAAAATAAACACCTGGCTGACGAGCCCGAGGTCACCCCCCTGGAACACCTTCTGTGGGTGGGTTTCACCCTGCCCGGCTTTGTGGGCAGTGCAGACTGGAGCCCCTGAGGTGGTGGTGAGCAAGAGGAGCGCCAGCCGGGCCAGGCTAGTGCGCTGGAATGGCCTCCTTGGCCAATGTGGCCTCCACTTCTCGGGTGAAGGGGAGTATCTGGCCGATTGTGGAGAAGCAGGTTTGATGTAAATCGCACTAAAGGTTTGGATGGGCCCAGCCTTGAGACACCGCCAGCCCCGACCCCAGCAACAGCCGCTGCTTTCCTGTCTGGGCTGAGGGGAGCTCGGGCCTGAGCCTCTCCCTGCACCCTGAGTCCTGGTGGGGGAGCCGACAGGGGGAAATAAAAAGAATGAAAAACCACTATTTTTTTTTCTTTTAATGTTTACTATAACGAGGGTGAAACCCCTTGGCCGGCTGGTGAGGGGGAAACAACCCCTCCGCTGGAGCATGGGGCGAGCGGAGGCGCCTGCACCCCGGGCCCCGGCCCCGTCCAGCCGGCGCCTGTGCCGGCGGCTCCCTGCAGGGGGCGCTGTGGGGCTCTGCCCGCCGCCGCCGGCCCGCTCTTGGCTGGGGGCGGGTCTTATGGCGGCGCCGCTCCGCCTGGGCCGCGCCGCACGCCTGCTGCCGGCTGCCGCTACGGCCCTCGCCCCAGCCCCGCGGCCGCCTCCGCGCCTTGCTTCAGCCTCCTCCTCCTCCTCCTC